AATTGCTATAAATCAGTTATCACGATTCTCTCAGAGCTGTAAAACATTCTACTTTTGTAGAAAAATGTTTGCTCTACAAAATGCATTTGTTAAAAGAATTCAAGAATCATTTCTAAGAAAACTTAGAGCATTCTAAAATGTACTAAATTACGGAAAAAAAACCTGTTCGGACAGTTTTTTTCCGTGATTTAATGTATTTTTCGAATACTCCGAGTTTTCTTAGAAATGATTCTTGAATTCTTTTAACAAATGCATTTTGTAGAGCAAACATTTTTCTACAAAAGTAGAATGTTTTACAGCTCTGAGAGAATCGTGATAACTGATTTATAGCAATTCTCCCGGATGCCCCAAAAGGTCTTCCGGCCAGACTGATCATCGCCAGATATAGAAAGAAAAAGGAAAAATGAATTCAGGGCTTTCTTGTAAATTCTATAACTTTGCAAAGAAAGGTCGTGTATAGCTGGGAGATGTCTCATTTTGATCAGAATTTCGCGGGCTACAAACACGACTTATTAAGAAAAGGTTTCGGAGAGTTTTAGGAGCTTCTGGAAAAATAGTGTTCTAGAAACTGATCTTTGAAGGCCTAGTGTCAAAAATCATGTTCATATTTGGAATCACAACGTTCGATAAACTATTGTTCACTGGTTTTCGAGTCAAAAACGATTTTCAACTTGGAGAGGTTCCCTCGTTAGTGTGTGAGGGATGGGAGACGAATGGTGCCTCTCAGTTTATAAATTCCTATTTTTAGCTCATTGCAAGGCTAACTGCATTCTACGTTTTGACCCGTTCATGGTAGCCAACATCCTTGTGGTCATTTTTAATGTCACTATATAATTGGTTGTGTAGGATATCTGAATATTTTATTCTTGATAGCATCCCGTATATATTTTTTATTTTATATTATTCTTTATTTTCTTCTTCAATATATAAGTAATTGATTATGGAATGCATAAAAGGACTGCTCCTGTGATTCATATAACACACTAACGATTTCTATGAAACTTATGAATTTTCACTGGTTTTTGAACTTTTTACGTATCTCCGGGTGGAGCCACACTTTCATAGAGATTGTTAGTGAGTTATATGAAGAATTTTGCTTCTATATTCTCTTGAATCGCCAACGGTTAGTGTACAGTAGGCAATAATCGTGATCTTATGAAAAAAATTGAAAGTGTATTTTTTGTCGATTTAAAAAATACGATACAATATAGTTCCACATGTGGGCTATTAAATGGCATATAAAACTTTGTTTCAAGTGCTCAGAATCATGGGAAAACAGTCAAAATTGGGCTAAAACATAGAATGACCTGAGAAGACAATTTTTTATGCGAAAATTAATGATTTTAAAAACGAAAACTATATAGACTCTGAATTTAGACTTTCTCTGCTACCAGATAGTGAAAAACCTTTTCAGTTTAGTCCAAATAAGTATCTGCCGTTTTTCTGCACCATTAAAAGTACTGAAAACCATAAAAAGCTAAGTTGCTCAACACTTTGTATAGAATAAAGTGTAATTTTTAGTAGTCATAATAGTTTTGTTGCACGATTCAAACAAGACATTAAAAAATAGAATTAAATCTTAAAATTTTAGGCGCAAAACGATATTTAACAGTGGTAGAAATCGTCTACAAAATATTGACCTCTTTATTGGTCTTTCATTCAGTAAGAAAATATCACAACTTCATCATTTGCTACTATCGAACGTAGTCAGTCCATGAAAAGAAGGACATCTTGTAGACTTTGAAATTCTGAATCGATTCATTTTAATAAAATCATTTCACTTCGTAATGTTTACAAACAATCGCACCACAAAGAAGTATCATCTCATTGGCCGAAGATAATTTTTAATGTTTTAAATATGAGAAAGTAGGAAGAAATAAGTCTATAGGAATGAAAAGAAATTCTGCATCTTTTATTACTAAAACTAAATTCTTACACTTATCTAACCAAACAAAAATTTATTTTCAGAACTTTCTAATTTTTCAATTGAGCAACTTCGCTTTTTATGATTTTCAGGACTGCTGATGCTATGCAGAAAAATGGCAATTACTTATTTCAAAAGAAACAAATGACTAAAATCTATACAGAATTCTCTATCTTCTAAAATCCAAACGACCTGATATTAACTTGAGAAACAAAAAGCTGGTAAAAGTCGGCAGTTTAATTTCGACCATCCGTTACTCAGAAAAATACCATAAAATAATTTATTGCTTCTTTTAGAACAAATAAAAAGATGGCAAAAAAAAACAAAAAAACATCTCAGTTAAAGATAAAATCTTAAAAACTATTAAAGATTATGGTTTATATGGTTCTAATAGATATCTTGAAAATGCATTAATATTTTCTGATCCACGTACTTCATCATCTAATAATGGTAATTTAATAATATTAAAATCTTCATACAAATCATCAATCTAAAAAGTATATGTTATTTAGTCATTGTATATTCGATTATTAGAGATAGTTTTAAACTGTCTAAGAAAGTATTACTCTATGAATTATCCCTTTCGGAACCGGTGACGCTTTAAAGCGTCATTAAAACGTCAAAAATCGGAATAAGCCATGTTTTCCAAAACTTTCTTTTGAAGAAACATCCCTCAAAATTCGATCATAATCAAATTTCAAATACATCATCTTATACACTCTATCTTTTGATGCATAATACATTTGAATAATATTTAGCTCTGGAAATCTAAGTTTTTCCGAAAATTTCGGTCCTTCTCAGTAAAAGAGGGTTTTTGAGTACGAAGACAGAATCGAAAGTGAAAAATGTTTTTGTCAGTAGATAGCTCTTAAAATTCTCTATCGAGACATTGTCATTTGAATTTTTTTGTCGAAAATCTCTTGGTTAGAAAAAACGAAGATGCATTTTTTCCGTTTTGTAGGAAAAATACTGTTTTCTACTTAACTCCGCCAAAATAAGTTGAAACTTAACGATATTTTCACATATCGTAGAGTTTAGTGATAGCTTTCTTTTGACGAAAGGATGAAGTCTCTATCTGTCAGGGAAGCCGAGATACTGCAAAAATAAAAAAGGCCTTAAACGCTTGAACAGTACTGTGTATATAAAAATTAAACCGGTCCCGAAAGGGTTATAAACATAATAAAACGTTTTTCTCGAATATAAAATTTTTGTTTACTTATAAACAAACATACTTGTTCAATATATTTATTTTGTAATTTCATTCTTGCTTTACATTTTTTACATTCGGAAGGATGATTTTTACTATCTGATTGAAATAGTATTTGATTAACAATTATATTGTGTGTGTCAATATTTGTCTTGGCTAATTCTTGTACTAAACGTTCAGTTTCATAGAGAGATAAAAATTCTGGAATACAAACACAAATAAATGTTGTCAAACTCTAAATAAACAATAAAATTTTAAAATATGAATAAATGGGCATACATAAAACGAGATATGTACCAGTACCAGTACTTATCCTGGTTGACTGGCTCGTTTTTTACTGGGTACTCAAACGATTTGATGATCAAATAATACAATAAACTCCTATTTTTTTCATGAAAGAAGCATTTCTGAGGATCGAGTCTCGCACTGGGCATGCAACGGTTACGGTTAACTGTAACCCGTCGTAACCGTAACCGTAAATAATGGCTCTATAACAACATAGTGTATGTTTGGTTTTTAGTTCTTTGATATCGGTTTACCTTAGAAGTAGACAAGCATGGTCTTTGTCCTGACGTTATAGTGCATCTACTATAGTGAGTCTACACTACGTTACACAAAAACGGCTGTTAAGTGGCGCCATCGACGAATATCTCATCAACCACTGTTTGTCACAGTAATTTGGCCTTTTTAAACAAAATCTTCCACCTTTCATCATGAATCTCAGCATTTTATCTACTGAATTTGAGTACCACACAGGTTTGAAGTATTGCAGGTCTATCTCGCACATTATAGTTACAGAATTTAATTCTCTAAAAGCTATTTGCTAGAACTAGATTTCTTGAAGTCGATCTTCAGGGTAAACAATTGTAAATATAGTTTTTCACTCTGAAAATCAAATCGGACCAAGTTGAATTCAGCAGATAAAAGTTGGAAAATTAAATTTGCTACACAATTATCTCTGGATTGAACTGTAGAAAACGCTTTTTTTTATAGCAAAAACTAGAAATAACACATTTTTCCAGTTTTGTGAAAACTTTCTAGGACTCGTCCGTTTTCCGAAGGAAAAGAAAGTTTGAAATATAAAGTTTATATATGAGCATTTTTGTAGGTTGCAGAGGGTTTTTGTCAGTAGCTGTGAACTTTCGGGGTGAAACTGTGATTGACCAGATTTCAATATAAAAATTTGATGTTTACAGCTGTTGAATGAATTAGTAACAGACAGTACATTATTGATCTGATGTTGTTAGTAGATGCGTCACTTTACTTATACTTATGTGTTGCTTTTCCGAAAAAAATAACAAATTTTTGTAACTGCTTTACCTATTACTTTTCAGGGTTAACAAAGAAAACTACTTGTTACTCGTAACAAGAGATAGTCAAACATTTCTTGTTACGGGTAACAAGTAACAACTTTTATTACTTTGTTACTTTAAGCAAAAGAAATAAAGTAAGTTTTTTTCTCATTCTTAACATTCTATGAAATTTCTGTCTTTCGTGATTAAACAGAAATATCATCTAATAACTATTGGAATAACATTTTTGAAGCGACACAGTGATTTCAGATAGTTGTAACTGTGCTGTTTTAAAACGGAACAACTGTACAGTTTCTGAATCTATTAAAAAGAGTTTTGTAGTTCACCTATCGATTAGACATTCGAATGTTCTATTGTGATTTTAGTTCTGTTGATCCATTACACTTATATATTTATTAGAGAACACAATGTTACACATGTAATCCCTGTGTCATTTTTTTATGTTCCGTTGCGAAAATGTGTCTTTATTTCTTAATCTTGTATTGTCTACCTATTGGCTATTTACTTCCCATAAACAAACCTTTACATTACTTCCTCATCCGTTCGTCTATCCCACAGATCGAAAATCATTAGACTAAAATCCTATTATAGTATGGATAATACGTCTATGGTTTTTATAACAATATACTACCAAATAGTCTTTTGAAATGAGATCGAAACTAATAATGTTTTACATTTAAAAACAAGAAAAACAACGTTACTTTGTTACTTTTGCTAAAAATAACAAAATAAGTGTTTTCTTGTTACCACTGACTAGTAAAAAGTAACTTTTTTTTGTTACTCTTAGAGGTAATAAGTAACAGAGTAACAAAATAGTCACTAGTAACTGATAAAAGAAAATAACGAAAGAGTTACCGTTTTCTAGTAAAAAGTCATTTTTAAACATTTCTCGCTACTAGTAAAGAAATAGTAAAGTGATACCTCTAAGTTGTTAGACACAAGTTTTAAAACTTATTACGATATATTATTACATGTTCTATGTTATAGTCCAACAGTTTCATAGGAAGTTTTCACATTTTCATTTCAAAGAAGCAACGCTGACAAGCTTCTCCTCATTTTTGTTATAAAAAAACCGTTTTCTACACTTCAGTCTAGAGATAATTGTGTAGCAAAATTTAATTTCCCAACTTTTATCTGCTGAATTCAACTTGATCCCATTTGATTTTCAGAGTGAAAAACTGTATTTAGACTTTTTTATCCTGAAGATCAACTTCTAGAAATCCAGTTCTAGCAAATAGTTTTTAGAGAATTAAATTCTGTACTTATATCATTTGAGTTGATCATCATATCGTTTGGTGCCAAACGGTTTGGCACCCAGTTAACTGATACTGGTGCATACCAACATAAAACTAAAATATGAGAGATATACCTACTGGATTTTGAAATTGTTCCATAACTTGTCTAATAACCACTAATGTTTCTTCTAATTTATTTGACATTAAATCTGATACCATATTGTTCATACCAAACATACCACTAATCTAAATAGAGAATAACGATATGTATAAATAATACACAGTATTTTATACACATACTTGGGTAATGATTGGTCCAAATTGATTCTTTAATCTAAGAATTTTATCCAAACCTTTTTCGATAGCTGATGGAAATGACAATAGTCGAAGTGTGTGACCAGTGGGCGCAGTATCAAATACAACAACGCTGAAATTCATATTTTTAACCAATCTAAATAAATAATAAGATAGTTCGTTCAAATAGATTAGATAAAAAAACGAAAGATCTGTTCGAATATTTTATTTTTCATAGTGAAGAAAGAGAAATAAAGTTAATATAAGAATGACTATGAGGAAGAGACAAAACAAACGTACTTCATTACTTCACTAAAACTAACAGCTTCATCGATGCCAGGAAATGATGATAACATATCCTGAAACACTGAACGACTAGTTGTCCACAATTCTGAAAATAGACAGAAAATAAAATGTAAAATAACATAAGATGCACCCAGGGCAGCCTTGCAGTGAAATTTATTTTTCGACACTTCATACACCATTCGATAGAGAATTTCGCGGTGATCACGAATATCACTTCCAAGGCTCTCAGAACCCTTTCCTCAC